TATTTTCAGCTTAGTCTGGGAAATATGTGACCAGTTTTTCACCCAGAGAGTAAAAATGTTCCAATTTATTGAAAAGCATTTGTTATTGGAAGCAGTCAATGACACAAAACTATTCCTGCTATTTCTATGCCGGCAATACCCGCCAGTCACTGTGCTAAAACACAAGCTTTGTCTACAAGGGTCCAGTTCAGGACAAGACACCTTAAAAGGCAAAGGTTCCTGGGATGGACAGCTCTGTTTCTAATACGTCTGTTAGAGGTGCACTTCGAGTTCCCTGGATATCTGGGCAGCAAATTTGCAAATTTTTGCAAGGTGCCAATGCTAACAATAAAGGTCATGTTGTTTATAATGTTGGTTCAACAAATTCCCATAGAGAGAAGAATAGATTCCCCAGGTGGCAGGCCTCTAGACCAGAAAATCTGCAGAACTATCTCTAATGTCAGAACCTTGGATACAGAGTTGGAGAGAATGAAGAGATCAACAAGGAGTCTGAGAAAGAGAAATTAGCATAAAAAGCCTGTGTAGACCTCACCTCCTCCTTGTCCCCAAGTCACTTCAGGGTACATCTCCTACAGGCAGACTGATGTTATTCTAACTCTGAGCAATACCAGTCAGGGCCTAATGTTATTCTTATCTCCCCAATATTACAAGCCATATTTTCTGTGTGTCACCCTACTTCTTTTTTTTTTTTTTTAATGTTTGTTTCTTTTTTAATTTTAGAGATGGGAAGGGAGAGGGACAGATATAGAATGAGAGAGAGATGAGAGAGATACATGAATTGGCTGCCTCCTGCACCATCTACTAAGGTGTGACTTGAAAAAAAGGGACCCCACTGGGGATCCAGCCCGCAACCTGGGTATGTGCCCTGACTGGAAATTGAACTGTGACCTCCTGATTCATGGGCCAACATTTAATCACTGAGCCACCCTGGCTGGGCCATTCTACTTCTTTTGTTTAGCAGTTCCAGTCCCCCAAGGCTAAGCTGTTGCACAACTTCAGGGCAAAACCTTCATAGAGTAGTGCATATGAAGCCCCCCAGTTGGTATACTACCCAGCCCATGGCCATATGGCACTGCTATCTTCCCATTTTTCTCACTCCCAGATCACAACCAAACATCATGGCTTAGATTATATTCTACCTCCATGATGTGAAACATTTCTCTAAACTCTATATCTCTTACCTAAAATGATTTTATCTTTCACAGAATGGCTTTGGCCTCAAAGTTCACATTAGACTGCTTGAAAGAAATTCTAAAGTGAAGAACAAAAACAAAAAACAAAAAAAAAACACCCTTGAACATCTCAAAAGATACAGATGGGCATTGGACTGAGAGACAGAACAGTAGACTGACACACAGAGAAGAGAGCTTATAATATTGGGGAGATAAGACAGAGAATTTAAGTCGAGAGCAAATGAAACTAGTGCTGAGCAACCCTGGCAACTCACATACATTGAGTGTCAGTTTCACATATATAGAATAATAGAGGTAAATAAGATATCTCAAAATGCCTGTGGGTCCCAATATTTTATAGAATCTTGGAACACCACCTCCAGAGGAAGGGTATATGAGTCCTGTATAAAGGAAGAGTGATAGGTGGACTGTGAAAGTCTAGGAGACAACACACTAAATGCTCAGACATGTCCAGCCAAATGGCATACTAGTATAGGCCTGAGCTGAGATAACTTGCCTCACAAGGCATATCCCTGCCTTTCCTCTCAATACAAAATCTTTATATAGATTTGTTTTCTTATCTTTAGTCTGGCAAACCTGGCACATAGCTGCCACATTTTTACCAGCTTACTCATGATTGCTAATGCTAACTGCCTCCCACTCTTAGCTGCAACACCCTCCCCCACCCACCCATGTGATAATGCTAATAAAGTACAGGTGTCGGCTACAAGAACAAATATTGCCAGCTCTAAATATAGGAACATCCTCGTTTTTAACAAGTCTAATATTGCACAATCTGCATTTACAAGTGCACATACCTACATATGTATGTGAGCACATATAAGTATGTGGAGGATGAATTATTTGCTTTGCAAATGAATGCACCATGGAATTCCTTAAAATATCAGGTGTTTCATGTCTCTTTTTGTTCACCAACTCCCCCACAAGTATCTTACACTTTCTACTTACTTATTTCTACTCAGAAATACATTTATTGTGTAAGCTAAGGTATCCTGTACTCATAAAAATTAATGGAGAGGTCCCAGGTTCGATTCCGGTCAAGGGCATGTACGTTGGTTGCGAGCACATCCCCAGTAAAGGGTGTGCAAGAGGCAGCTGGTCGATGTTTCTCTCTCATTGACGTTTCTAGCTCTCTATCTCTCTCCCTTCCTCTCTGTAAAAAATCAATAAAATATATTTAAAAAATTAATGGAGAGCAAAATGTATTTCTTTGGAGTTTTCTTGCTAATTTCTTTGATGTCCTAGGTATGTGGGTCTATACAGGAGGGGGGGGCAAAAGTAAGTTTACAGTTGTGAGTACAGAAACACAGAGTTTATTCTATTGTTATTTATTAATTACTGTATTATTTTCCAAGCAAACAACTATAAACCTATGTGTACCTCACCCTGTGTTTGAAAGCCCAGGCTATGGATTATATCTGGCAATATGATGAACATAAAAGCCACATGAACCTTAAATGCCTTTCAGAATCCACCATGGTATAACAGCCTTCTACAGAAATTAGAGCCTAGAAGAGCCACCAGCTCCACACAGGCCGCCCTGCCTGGAGAGAAGTGACATTGTTTTGTGATTTCAAAAGCAGCCATTGTACCCTCCACTCAGGTCAATGTCTGCTGGGGGCAGCTTAAAAAGTTGAACTAATATGTTCTGCCTCCTTACACAATAAATATTATAACATTAATAACTGTTATAACACAATAAATGTTATAACACAATAAATGGCAAAACATTAACCACATTTCTGAGTGGCGAAGCTATTTTTACTAATGGTGGTGCTCTGGAAAATGTCATCTTTCAGTGTGAAATGCAAATATGATTTTCATCCAAAGGTAAATGGTAAGCGCAATCAGGTTTGTTTGTTGGTTTGTTTAAATTTGAGTTTCGTAATGTTTTCTATTTCTCTTCACCCCAGGGTTTCCTTATCTATGTGCACACACAGATGAGAACAGGAACAGATTAGGGTAGGTTGAAAATAATACCTCTGATGCTAACAGCTCCAAACAAAGGTTTATCTCAAACAATCATCAGTACTCCCCTAGTATCCAACCTTTTTCATCTCATGGCACACATAAAGTCATTACTTAAATTCTGCTGCATGCCAAAAAATATGTTTTTTGTCAACCTGACAAAAAATAGTTATATTAATAATTTTGATTCATTTACACTGAAGAGCTATTGTTTGTGTTGGCTGTTGTCATTTTTTCACTTGACAATCTTAAAGGAACAGAGTCAATGATCCTGACTAAATATGATCATTTATATCATATAATAAAAGATATTATATGTTTTAAAAAAATTCTTCCAGCACACGGGTTGAAAATCATTGCCCTGGAGCCTAACAAAAACAAAAAGGAAAATAGCATCTCCGCTCTTAAGTCATCTTCTCCTCCACCCCACTCCCTACCCAACACCTCACCCAACACAGACCAGAAAAAGAAGTTATGGTTTCCCCACTTCCAGAAATAAAACTGTCTAGAGCTCAGGTACTCAGAAAATCCTAACTCCCTCTTGGGTCCTTAAGAATAAACACTGAATGGGGGACATGGCTCAGTAGCTACAGAAGGTTGATGAGAACAGGCTGTGGAAAGAGCACTGGACCAAGAAGGAGGAGGCCTAAGCTGAAATCTGGATGAACCCCTAACTAACCCTTCTGGACCTCAGTTTCCTCATTATAAAATACTAGTGACCCAGTGCACAGATTTGTGCACATTGAAAGGAAATTAATTTGAAGGTGGCTGGTGGGGCAGGATTGGACAAAAAAGGCCAGACATGCCCTGGGGCCAACCTCCCATGGTCCCTCCCTGGCCGGCCACATTTGTAGTGGCGCCAGGGCTCAAAGGGTATCTGTGGAGTAAGGTCCTAGAATGTGAAAGAGCACTCTGCAAAGTTACTGTCATACAGGGTGTGTAATGCAAATGTAAATGTGCAATAAACCAGATTTGGGGCTGACAGTGCCCCAGCAACAACATAACCCCAGCCAAAGGTGGAATTGGGCTCCCTTCTGTCTGGTTTTGGAGTGAGTCACCTGAGAACCGCTGCTGCAAAGTCACTGCTGCTTAGCAGCTCTTGTGTTGAGCGTCTGCCCCCTGGTGGATAGTGCACATCTCAGCTAACAGCTGGACGAACACTTAGCATATTAGCATTATATATATATAGATAATGATACCTGCATTTTTATGATATTGAATTAGATAATAGACTTCAAAATACTTTGTGAAAGTAGTAGGTCTTCACAACGCAATGTTTTGCTTAGTTGTGTGCATCTCAAATCCTATAACATTAAGCTGAAACTTATAAAAATAAGAAAAGTGTAAGGCTGTTTTAAACAAAGCCTTCTATCTCTTTTCTTCCCTTCCTCCCTCTTTCTTCCCTCTATCTCTTGATCTCTCTTTTGCTCTACCTTCTGGAAAAAAATCAAAAGTGGCACTTGATCTTGGTCTTCTAATCATCATGAATTTTCTGACTTTTAACCACAGTCAAAGGGTAAATTAAATAAGCTACCTAATTAAATTAGATTACCTACTACTAAGTATAGGGACCTGTGTTAAATTATTACCAAACTCATATCATGAAGAAATTTTCTGCTTCTAGAGAAGCTTGAAATCAGCTATTCATTTATTTTTTTCACCCAACAAATATCTATTCAGTGCAAACTGATGCCCAACAGTAGAGATTTAAAAATGAATCAGAAAAACATAGCCCCTTTCCCCATGAAGTTAGTAATTCAGTGAGGCAGACAGGTTCACAGCCTCTTATTTTATAGCTTAGAAACTAGAAACACAATAGTTTAGAAAATGTGACTCTACCTGCAACTCTCCTTCCATTATACTGAGCAGCTGGATGAGGTCTTCTTTGGATAACTCCAAGGATTTCTTATTCTTTTTTTCACTTTCTCCAGATGGTTTTAGGTGTCGTTTGACAGTTCCTGAGGCCATGACATCATCTTCCTTTCTATTTGATTTGTTCTTCTTTTTTGCTTCTTCTGAGAGACTTTTATCATCAACATTGCTTATGATGGAGGGTTTGGGGCAGGAGATATGCCCGTTGGATGAACTTTCACCACCCTGGTTTCGGGATCTCATTCCCACCTAACACAAAGAAAGATTAAATGTTTTTACCCCCATTGAAATTATATTTTCTCTAACTACTTAAAAACTTGTTGCAGCTTTACAACATCACCAATAAAGAAAAGAAAAAAAGAAAAAGATCAGTTCCAGTTAGCTTCTTTATAGCTTTAATTAATGTACTATTTAAATCTTCAGAAAAATGCCTTGATGGTCTTCAAGAAAAAGTGAAAATGTGATTATAACCTGACAAATATCTCAAACCAAATGATCAAGGTCAACATCAACAGTAATAAGTTGTGTTGATAGTATGCATCTTTGATCCGAGGTGATAAGCAAGGCACTTCACCTTTGTAGTCTTGCTCCCTTAAAACATTACCCAAGTTTAATAATGAGAAAAACATCAGACAGATCCCAAATGAGAGACACTCTATAAAATTCATGACCAATAATCTTTGAAACTATCAAGGTAATAATAAAACAAAAACAACAACAGCAAGGAAAATCTGAAAAACCATCATAGTCAAGAGGAGACTAAGGACAAATGACAACTAAATGTAATATGGCATCCAGAGTGGGATCCTGCAACAGCAAAGTGACATTAGGGGAAAATCAAGGAATTCTGAAGTATGTATTTGAGTCAATTATAATGGATCAATATTGGTTTACTAATTATGATGAATGTATCAGACTAATGTAAGATGCTAATTATAGAGGAAACTGGGTGTGGAATATTTGGGAACCCCCAGTATAATCTTTGCAACAATTCTGTTAATCTAAAGTTGTAAAATAAAAGTGATTCTAACTCCATCAGAAAATTCAAACTTCAAACCCTGCCAGGAACCAAATGGAAGTCACAACTGCAGCGAAACCCACAAAGGCTGGAGAGGGACTGGAATAGAGAGAGGGAATGGAAAGCAAAGGGGAGAGGGTGGTGATAGGGAATTCTATTTTTCCATAGCCTCTTTTTTTTTTTTTTTCAAAAGCAGGTTGTTGGCTTTTGTTTTCTTAACGTCAATCATTTATAATAATGTGGATAAAAGCACAAAGAATTGGGAGAAAACAGAACAACTACAAAATCAAATTTTTAAACAGTATATTTTGAGGCAAAATACAGAAGAAAAAAACAACAAAGCAGCAGCTAGCTTGTCCTGTGGGAAGCACCTTTGAGTCATTCCATGAGGAATGTTTTACAGATGACCTGTCAGTCCCTGAGCAAAAGAACTGAACCAAAGGTATGTTGTAAACATTCTGGAGTCAAAAGCTAGGATTCGAAATGCTTGAAGAGAGCTCTAATATCCCAGGGGCTGCACTACAAATTTTGCCTCCACCCTTAAATATCAAAGGTTAGTGCATGGGCTTATTTAGAACTCACAGTATAAATAGTCCTGTCTCTGAACAGCTAAGCAGCAAGATTTTCATGACTCATTCCAGATAAACTACAGGGATGTTGTTTTCTGAAAGTAAATTTCCTTTATGAACCCAATCATATTTAAGAAACTAAGGAGAGCTTTTCAAAACTCTAGATTCATAATAGAAAAATAAATACAGTGTGGTGTTTCCTTTCAGATAGCGAATATTCAATTCTTCCAACAAATCTTGAAATCTACATTCATGCTTCTTTTTTGAAGTGAACTCGCGTGTGTGTGTGTGTGTGTGTGTGTGTGTGTGTGTGTGTGTGTATGATAGAACTTTCTACAGCACCCTAACTATGAACAACATAAACACAGAAAGGTGGTCCTTAACCCCGGCACCTTGTTTTCTGGTTAATTCAGTGATTTGTCCTCGGAGTTTTAAAGCATCTTTTGTGCTTTGATGATGAACAAAGAAGAGATGTTTCTTTGTAATGGGAGCCAGAGCCCTTCAGAGCAGACCTACTGTATTTCATCACAGCTTGTTTGTGGGCAGAGTGAGCTGCTTTCAGCCACAAGCCAGAGAAAAAAGAGGTGATGAATAGAAAGTTTCAGATTTATCTCTGACCTGTTACACATCACAGCTAAGACACATGGGCTTCCCAAATTGAATTGTGACTCCCTATGACTCTATACCACATGTGAATTCCTTTTATCTAAAATAACTTTCTCTATAAGATCTTAAGGCTCTTTGGAATGGCACAGCAAATATTGATTTGACAACTTCAGCTTAGATCATGGGTTAATAGGAATTCCAGAAGATGGTTCTCAAAGCATAGGAAATGAGGGATGATGTATTAAACTTTATTATACTTAGCTTTAATCAGACACAACATTTGTATTTGACTGTAGCATATGTTTATGTCTTATTTCCCTGGATTTTATGCATCTCATAATATCTACAACACTAGACTATTCCTAAAATAGAATAAAAGAATAACTATCTGTATGTGACATGAATTTATTTAATTAATTGTAATTGAAAACATGAAGGAAATGGTATTTTCTTATACCTACTCTATATTTAGTTCTTCCTTAAAATTTTATTAATAGTCTGATATAATAAATTTTATTATAGCATTAATAGTTTTTTACAAGATTATATTAATTCATTGATGAACATTAATTATTGAATTAATTAATTACAGAATTGATCCATTACAGAAAAAAATACATTTAGAATTATCTAATTATAGTATATCAGGTCAAAATATTGAGTTCCCTATTTTCCTCCACCTTAATTTACTTTGGCTGATGGAAAATCTCTTATGCTAGATCCATGATGTTAATGTCTTAGCAAATATTTTTCCACTGTGACACCGAAATTTCACATTCATTGCTTTCCTCTGACATCTGCACACGGATGCTGGTCCTTTTTTGATAAGCCAAATGGTGTTTACTATCTTTATCTCCACAACAAAGTCAGCAATCAACACCTGTTCTATCTGAGGAATGCGAAAGCACTCAGAGATAACAAACTAGACAAGTAATGTTTTAGGAAGGAATTTGACATGTGAGGTAGAAAAACATAGTTTCTCAATAGTGTAACCAAGTCTATCATCAATAATGTCCACATTAAGCCACCTTTTTATATTTTGTAAGGAGAAAATGTCCAGACAATAGAGAACTTCCATGTATCACATCTAGAAGCATTCATACTCTTCCTTATTATAATAGCTCTCACTTATTGTTTCTGAAGTATTATATAGTATGTTAAGCATTTTACATACAACATCTAATTTAAGTTAATACTCATATCAACCCTATGATGTGAGATTTTAAAGATGAGATCACTAAGGTTTAAAGAAATTCAATATATTTTTCTGGATTACAAAGCTATTCCTAGTGAATAGGAGAACTAGGATTTGAACGCAGGTCTGATTCCAAATACCTACTCACTGTAGGGCTTTCCCTTAAGTTCTTAATCCATTGTATGCCATAAGCATCTGTAGACAAAGAGGAGGACCTTCCTCACATGGCATACGCATCTATAAAAGAAAATATGTTTTCCCTAAGTGGCAGCCCTGACCAACTTTAAAATCATTTTTCATGAGAATTTTCAGCTGAAAATATTCAAGAACACCAAATTGTGAGTAATATATTAATTTTCATTATAATATTCATTGCAATTTGATTTTTAAATTAAATTCAAAATATCATAGTTTCCATTTTGGTCGCGTGGTAGTTAACTGGTTAAACACATACAAATTAGAGGGGAGGAATATCCTGTACATTAGATGATCCAGATAAATCTACAAATGCTTACTAAGGCAATATTTTTTCACTTCACATTAGAGTTGGAGAAATCAATGTCTTCCTCCACATGCAAAACTCACACAGCAATTGAAATTACAGACAGTCCTCAGGTTACATCGGACTCAGTGTACATCATTTCATGATTATATCGCCATGTCCCATCTATACTAATAAAAGGGTAATATGCTAATTTTTCTGGAAAAAGCCACGGTGGTGGGGGCCAAGGCAGAGGTGGTTAGGGGTGATCAGACCAGCAGAGGAGAGTGGTTAGGGGCAATCAGGCAGGCAGATGAGCGGTTAGGAGCCAGCAGTCCCGGATTGTGAGAGGGATGTCAGACATCCCCTAAGGGGTCCCAAATTGGAGAGGGTGCAGGCCAGGCTGAGGGCCTCCTCGCACCCTGCCCCATGCACAGATTTTGTTCACCAGGCCTCTAGTTGATTTACAAAAAAGTTCCATTATTTCGACTTATGTACATATGTGGTTTGTGTTTTTTATTATTTACCACAAGTAAAGGTTAGGAATTGTTCTCTTTCTTTTAAATTTTTTTTTTTTTTTTTTTTTTTTTTTTTTTTTTTTTACTGTTTCCACTTCATTACTGCTGTGTATATGTTCCATGTGAGTGACATAGGTCCTTATGTAGGTGGGTTCTGACTTATGGTAAAAAATCGCATTATGTCACGCCATAAGAACGAATCTCCGATGTAACCCGAGGACCTCCTGTAGTTTGCTAAGTAAAAATACTTTTCTAAAATCATTAACCTACTCCACCTGGCCTGTGTGGCTCAATGGTTAAATGTCGACCTATGAACTAGAAGGTCACAATTTGATTCCTGGTCAGGTTTAGTCTCCAGTGTGGGGTGTGCAAGTGGCAGCCGATCAGTGATTCTCTCTCATCATTGATGTTTCTATCTCTCTCCTTCTCCCTTCCTCCCTGAAATCAATAAAAATACATATCTTAAATCTACTGGAGAAAGAAACTGGTCAACTATTAAGGATACAAATTATAAAAACAAGATGCAAAGTCTAAACAGGGACTATCATAGACTTATTGTGTGAAAAGCCCCAGAGCGGAACAATAGTAAACATTACATCAGAGTTGGCCAAATCCTGTCCATTGTGCTGAGAAAAGTTGCAGTCAGGTAACCGAAAAGGCATCTGGCACTCCTTAGGCTTAATAGTTGATCGCATGGCTGCAAGTTTTGGACACATAAGGTAATAAACTTTCTGAAGGAAGCCAAGAACGCCTTTGCTTCGCCTTACTGCAGACCCTTCAAAGAAAGTTCTCAAGACAAAGGTTTAAATAAACCAAAGAATCACATCAGATTTGTAATGTGTGTGTGTTTTTAATC